TGGAAGCGGGTATCGTAGGGGTGTTGAATGACCAGGTGTCGTCAGATTCAGACCCACTCACTCGGCAACGTGCATCAAAAGCATTGGAGATCTGCGCACGCGATGCAAATGGTTGCCGAGCTATGTTAGCAGCGAACACAGCCCAAGTAGTGGCCCCGGCGTTGAATGATGATGAAAATGATGTGCGATTACATGTTTACGAGGCCCTGATCGAAATGTCTACCGGGAGTATACGGGGCGTCCGTGCGCTCGTCGCATCCAACTATCCAGCTATGCTCGTCAGCAAGGCAGCTAATGAGGTAGTTGCAATGCAACCCCTCGCACTGAAGCTTCTACGCAATTGCCTTTATGATGATCAGGGTCTCGAAGATGCACTCGGGCACTCGGCTGTCGAAACTTGCATCACACTGCTCGGGAGCTTCGACACTTCTGTGCGCCACGAGGCTGCCAACACCCTTTCGACATTGTGCTTTGCGGAAATGGCCAAAATGTCTGCTATTCAGGGAGACGCTGTCACCGTGCTTATTACATTACTCAGGGACTCTGAGCAGCATGTCCGATGCGCTGCAACGGGAGCATTGATGGCCATTACCACCACTGATGAAGGGAAGCGTGCGATGGTCCCACCACTTACTGATGGCGAAATCGAGTCTGTTTCTTTGCTTATCCTTCTACTGCACGAAACCCACGACCTGCTGATCACAAACACCCTCAAGTGTATCTCTAATGTCGCTGTGCATCCACTGGCGCGTGAGCAAATGAAGAATTCTAAGGAGTGCCTTGAATCACTTTCCCAATTCTGCGTCTCAGACCACCCCCTCATAGCAAAGCATGCCATCATTGCGAAAAAGGCGGTCCTATGGCGACCATGATTCCACGCAGATTGTGACTTGGCTAGGGACGCACCAGCTTCAGGCGCGGCCCCGCGGCGGCAGTAGCACGCGTGTCAAATCAGCGGCGATTTTCGCGGGGGGGGGGGGGCCTCCTGTGGCCGCCCAGGCGGCCGGCGCGCTAGTGGTAGGTTAAGCTGGTGCGCATGTTGACTCGACACTTGCGCAGAACGGGACTCCGAATTAGAGCAACGTTAGTTCAGAGAGCGCCTCTGGCGGACCTCAGCAGAAAGCGCCCCTGGCGAATCAATTCACCGCATCTAACGAAAGATTTCCTATACAAGATATCATCTGAACAGGCGCTGCAATCCGCGCTAGTATCGTCACGTAGAAAGATGAAGCGTGCGAAAAAAGCCCCGGGACAGAAGCGAAATCAGCCCAAAGACGCTGACAAGGCTGTGGTGCCTCTTGCTGGACCGGTCCTAGCTCAAGAGGACGATGACATGTACCAAGAGCCCTACCGACTCATTAAAGTGCCTGCG